CCTCTACAGGCCCTCCACCTTTTGAGAATAGTACTAATTCTCTCCAGAGACTGGGAGACCTTGCTCAAGGAAAGGGAAGCCTTCTGGAGCCATAAGACTGTGTGGTAAACCCACATATGTCCCTGGTAATCCACATTATTCACCTCTGTCATCAAAACCACATTTATTAACTACAGGAACATTGCCTTGTTCATCTGAATATAAGATGCAAGTCTTACATTTCTTATTTTGAAAAATGTTACCAAAATTGTTAATAGGCTGAATATTTATTACTTTGACTTTAAAAATGGAAATCCAAAATCTAAAACTGAACATTAAACATTCTGCTATGCATTAGAATGATTATCTCAAGGCTGTGCTTTATTTTTATCTGAATCTAGAAGACTTCCCTTCCTACTCTTAACCCATTCATCTTTCTGCCAATAGATTCCTATGAGAAGCAACAGGCACAAGGCTCTGGTCGGAAAAAATTACTGTCTTCTACTCTAATTCCTCCACTAGAGATAACAGTGACAGAGGAACAAAGGAGACTCTTATGGTTAGTACCACCATGAGAATGTGATGTTGATGGTATCAATTCTCACAATAATTCTGTGAGGAATAAGCATAACTATTGTTCCATTTCTCCGATGAGACCAAGAGAGGTTATAAGACTTGTCTAAGGTCATAGCAGTTATTAAGTAGTGGAGTAGGCACTCAAAGGCAGGTCATCTGACTCCACAGGCTGTTTCCTTTTTTAAAATATATTTTTTTCTGCATCCAATCATCCATTAAAATATTTAATTTTTGAGACATGGTCTCACTCTGTTGTCCAGGTTGGAGTGCAGTGGTGTAATCTCTGCTCACTGCAACCTCCACCTTCCAGGCTCAAGCAGTCCTCCCACTTCAGCCTCCCAAGTAGCTGGAACTACAGGTGAGCACCACCATGCTGGACTAATTTTTGTAATTTTTTGGTAGAGATGAGTTTTTGGCATGTTGCCCAGGCTGGTCTGAACTCCTAGGCTCAAGCATTCCTCCCACTTTGGCCTCCCGAAGTGCTGGGATTACAGTCGTGAGCCACTGCACCCAGCCTGTTCTTTCTACTGTATCCAAGATGGTGAGTATAGGATAGAGTTTCCCTGATAATTTTTTCCAGCAGTTGGCTTAGAACACTCTTCTCATTTCTTGGAACAGTCTGTGTTTATGCCGTGCTTTGTGAAAGCAAAGTTTCTGCAGTAATTGGTCCCATTCTTCTTTGCCTTGGTGCATTCTAGACTGTTAGTTTTCATTACCGTAATCATAATGTGAAGAAAGTAAAACACTGGGATGTAAGGAAGAAGCAAATCATATAGTGAGTCACAAGATAGGGCATCTTTCCTCTTCTAGGCAGCACAAATTATTGAAAATGAAAAAGAGAATTTTCTCCCAATATGTTTCAAGTTTGGGAATATGATACTGCCAGTAAATCTTTTTTCCCTGTGACATAATTTATAGTAGAGGCAGATATATTTACTTAGATCCCATTAGTCAGGACTTCTCAGTTCCTTGGGCATTAATTACCTCCCTGCTTTCATGTTGATTCAAGTCACTCTCAGACCTTTTCTTCGTGCCAGACTCGGTTAAGTGCCAGCAGCCAGAAGTTAGCAGTTCCTCAATGAAGAAAACACACTTAGAAACAAGACTTAGACAAAGATTGATTCTCAATGGAAGAGAGAAAAACAGTAAAGATTACTATAATTCAGAAAGGAAATTTGATAATAAAAAATCCCAAACACACACATAAGTGTGAGAAAAACAATACAATTGTTAAGCCCTGTGGCAGCTTTTGAAAAACTATCAAGTAGTATTTGGAACCAGCACTGAAGTGCAAATGAAGTAGCCCTTTTTTTTTTTTTTTTTTTTTTT